ATCAAGTTGGAATATCAACCAACACTTTTTAAATATTTGTTTATAATATATTCATAAGCATTCCCAACATTCAATATATCTATTAAATATCAAATATCCACTACAGTATCTTTTTACCTACTCCCACAATGGAGTAAAAAGTATGTGTTACAAAAAGTTTTCACTTTCAGTGGCATCAAAGGGGCCAAGAAAGGCGACAATCTGTATTTCTTTTTGCACTTGCTTCAAACCACATAATACTGCCATACGTATTAGTGGCATTGGGATATTTGTGCAGATTAGATTAAAATTTGGCTCATTTACATGAAAAAAGTCCCCCTTTGGCAATGAGGGAATTTATAGTTTCAAAGTTCTCACCTTGGAAATGTATATAGTTTTGCAGGATACTTAGTTATTTTAATGTCACTTTGGGATATTTTCACATGTGGATAGTTTGTCTTAAGTAAATTAAGTTTACTTCAATGAGAATAAAAGTTAAAATTAACACACATGCGCTGCTCTTTTAAGTCCTCTCTTACCATCTGACAACAGACAATTTCTCCGTTAGTCTTCTTCATCTTCTTGAACATCTTGGCAAAGTACCAGAACCTGGATTTGGCTGTGGGTTTGTCAGGGGCGAAGATCCTCATCTGGTACAAGGCAGGCACCCTGTCCTTGTCCGTGGGGTAACGCCGCCCTATCACCTTGTACTCCTTCAGCTGCACACGAAGAAAATAATTATTTTAGTTTTCCTCATTACAATTAAATCAAAATGGGGTCAATGCAGTGAGAAAGTCTTACAAAAGGATCTTTTTACTGCATAAATGCTTGTCATTAATTTATACACAGCAAGGTAATGTGGATGGAAGGGGCACATTACTGTCACGTCCGACTGAAAGATTCATTCTCTCTACGTGATTATCAACATGTTGAATTACTCCTTCAAAAGTAACCCATTAACTCGATCTGTTACGTTATGTAATCCGACCGCCAACATAATTCAGGTATGTTTCGATACCCAAAGCTATTCATTCCATCAGGGCCACTTTCTCATGCTCTCAGCCCTATCCTCCATCTTGGATAAGCGTGCTCTCACAAAATTCAATTATCTTCACTCATCGCTATGAGAACAATTCAAAAAGGGGTTTAACTACATCATTTTAATCTGTTGTTTATGAAAATGCATAAACACGGTGACTTTTAGAGTTTTATTTGTCATAATGTGGGTTGCAGTTTGGAGCACTAACCTCACCGCGAGCCTTCATCTTGTTACACGAGGAAAAAGGCCGATATGTGTTCCGCTAAAACGAGATTTACATTTTTTAAGAAAATGCCAAAAAAAATCTACAGTTTACTTTAATTCATACAAAGATATAGTTTTGTTTTTATTTCTAATCAAAGATGGACATTTTTATAATAAAGGAGACAAAATTGGAGAAATTGTTAAAAATCCCGTCCAAACGAGACTTCAAAGTGTCATGGCAGCCTACGCAGCTGATGAAACGTGGCTGTAATGTTTTGATGCGAACAATGTGCATTTAAGGCGAAGATATACACACTAAAGGTTAGTGCGTCATTGGAGAGCTTTTGATAACATATATCTGTTTATTGTGTTCACCCAGAGATCATTCGGACATGCAAACCTGACTTTAATCAACAATTAATCGCACCGGTTGTCGGCTGTTTTACAACGTGACTTGGTGAATCGGTGAAATGAGGCGAGCTAAGAAAGGCCAGAACGAGCAGTGATAGATTTCGTTCGATCACACTTTCTAAATTAGACGCAGTCTGACAATGAAGATACTGGTACTGAAACGTTGGAAATCCAAATAACTCGGAATGTATTTGCAAGCGCAGATGTTCATGTTTGAGGTGGACCCGTTTGAGGGGTGGGTTCTCCCGTCATAGACCCCATTTCCAGAGATTAGATCGATCTACTTTAGATCGGCCTAACTCCCTGGGGGTTCACGCTAAATAGCTGTCAGCCGAGCGGACACAAAAGTTAATTACCCCCTTACCGCTCGTAGTAGGCGGGACGGACATTTAAGAAGGATTATCTGAGAGTAATCTAGTGAGACTCCCCGCGGGGATAGATCGATCTAAAAGCTCTGGGAATACAGCCATACATACTTTGACGGGTTAATGATGTGGGTGGTTTATTTTTTTATGTAACTCCATCCATTTTTATCAAATATTCAGAACTAGATGTCATAACATATTGCTGGTTTTACAGTAAGTTTAGATACTGGAGATCAAAGACCTTCAATTAGCACAAAGTTTTGTGCATTCGTTAGTACTCTAAATTTTGGTTTCTACTTTACAACCTATATATATTTGTTAACCAACATTGCCAGAGATAAATTGTGGGAGGGTGGCGGTAGGTTTTAATTATCCTTCTAAATTTTTTTCTTTTTTTTTCTGCACTTGTGTCAAGTTGTGTATATGGTGGAGGGAGGTTGTGGTGCTGGAGTGGTGTGGAGAGGGAGTAACAGGATACTTAAATGTCTTACTTACTTATCCTCTTTGAGCCGTGGTGGGCTAATAAGGCTTGTCGGCATCCTCTGTCGTTGTCTTCTATCTTTTGCTGCTGTGCGGGCTTCACTGCCCTCTTTGCTACCCCAGTTCTTGCTGCTTGGCTTATTTGCTTCTTCTCCATGTAATTCATATAAAGGCTTTATAAAGACATAAATATGTAAATTATTTTGGTAAATAAATGATATCAGTAATACATAAATGATATATATTGATATTGTATGTTATCACAGCAGGTATCCTGTGTGTGGGGCAGTGTATGGGGCAGTCATGGAGGAGGTGGCGCTGCAAGGGCTGGACCCCCAGGTCAACGATCCCGCAGCTAGGGCTCTCGTAAGTTCTCTTTCATGTTGTTAACCCATTTCCAGCATGAAATAGGCTACTGAGGATTTTATACATACTTTGTTACCCTGACTTTCAAAAGCCTTTAAACATTTGCTTCCTGTTGTTGGTTTGAAGAAAATATTTATTGCCAGTGAGTGAAAAACACTGCTGATGAAATTCTCCAACTAGGCACTAATAGAATTTCTCAAGTCAAATTTTACTCAAATGCTAAAATTTCATCAGGATTCTCTCTATTCCTTCCAGACGTTGCAGTATTTTGAGCAGCTGAAAGCCTCAGAAGATGGCTGGAGACTTTGTGCTGCTTCTCTCACCTCCGGGAGATATCACAGGTAAGTGCTCTACATGTGTTACCATTTCATTAAAGACTGTCTGTTCTTTTTCTTATGATACACAGACACAGTAGAAGATAAAATTTGTTGTTTTTTCAATAACTCTTATTTTACCTTAGCATCTGCCTGATGACTTTGGTTTTGTTATTTGGGAATTATTTTTTTAATGATTAACAAATGAAGCACAGTATTTTATTCTGACATTGTTTACTAGGAAGTAAAAGTGGAATAAAGACAATAGCTTTAAGTTGATATTATTTATGTGTTAGATTAATTTTTTATTTATTGATTTTAATCTTGCAAGTTTGTTAATATCTAATACAGATTACTTTTTATTTTGATTTCTGTTTCACACATATATTTTTATTTTCAGCAACGATCACATTCAGTTCTTTTGTTATCAAGTTATTGAACATTTCCTGAAAACAAGGTGCGTGTGCCTTCATATTTATTTTTAGATTAATGTTCAGATAATATTAAAATGTGGAATAGAAAAAATGATATCTGTCAATTTGGAAGTTCTAATATATGACATATGTACTCAAATTTTTTATTTATTGAAAATGAACTGTACCTTTTGACATAATTTTGTGGAACAAATAACTGATTTATTGTCAGTTTTAATATCATGTTATATGCAGTTCATATATATCCATTATATAAACCAATGGTCAGTTTCTTTTTTTCACAAAATAACGTAAGCTTGAAATTGATCTAAACGTTCAGTCCAAAGATAAAAGCCGTCTTTGAACCACGATATATCAGCCTGTTTAATATTAAGAAAGTCTTAAACCAACATTTAATTGATTCAAAGGTACAACTAGTATGATGTCATCTTGCCCTGAAGTTGACAAAATTTTATGGCCTTAAAGTTAAAAAAAATGTACCTATTTTTGGGCTTAATTTCTTCTTTGAGCTCATCCCTTTAAATATGTTGTAGCTATGTCAGCGCCAGCCCTGTTGTTCAACGAGAGTGCAAGACCTTCCTGATGACTGTGCTACAGTTACAGGTGAGAACTCCGTCGTGGAGGAAATTGTTTGTAAAAGTGGGGCACAAATATGGCCTTCAGTAAGGAGTTTCCTCAATGTACTTATTTTGTTTACATGTAATCATATATGTCAATTAAAGAGCCAAGACACCATGAAGAAATTGTGGGAATGAGTTTGGTAAACTTGAATAAAAATACTGTCTTAAAATCTGGAGTCTCCTCAATGAACCTATTTTGTACACATAAAATCACTACTACATTGTATATACATCAATTCCAGAGCCAAGACACCACAAAGAATAAAACCTTTCTGCGTAACAAGGTTGCCCAGGTTCTGTCCTTGGCGTTTGTCTGTGACTATCCTCAGCGCTGGCCGAGCTTCTTCCAGGATTTACTTCAGTTGCTGAGCATGGGGCCTCTGGCTGTGGATATGTACCTGAAGGTTCTGGTTGCAATCGACAGTGAGGTGGTTGACAGAGATATTGTCCACACACAGCAGGTATGTATGTTAAAACAGAGTGACGCTTTTTTTTTTTAATTTCACAATTAACTTACTTTTAGAATTACTATACGGTGTAAAAGTAGGATAACAGGGAGTAAGTACTTAATATTAAAACAGCACACTTATCAGATCAATATGATATCTTCAACTGTGATATCTCACCTGGCATAAGACTAAATATCTTTGACAATTATGGGAATAATACAAAGCATTTATGAAGTGACGTGATATTTGAATTGAATTTCCATTGTATAATTGCTGTAAAAAGGTGACTGGTGTTATTTTTATGATTTCAGGAGACAGAGAGGAACACCATGATTAAGGACACCATGAGGGTAGACTGTGTGGCACAGCTGGTGGATTCCTGGTACCAGATCATTGTAAGTGTGTTCACACTGCCCCCTGTGAAAGTTTGTCTCCTTTAACGCTCACTTACGCTTCTCAATCTGTCCTAGAACATAACGTTTTTCTCTTTTAAAGAAAAATGTTCCTTAAATTGAGGACATTGTAAGTGCACAGCTAGATGATGTATTAAATTATTAGATAATAAGTAAATTGAAAGAAAAATGAAGATATGTTTTCTCTACTGTGTGTATAGTTGTACCCTGCTCTGATATAGTGAAGGTGTGGTTTAATATTTAGGACTTTATTTTCCAGACAGGTTATGAGTCGTCCAACCCAGAGACTGTATGTCTGTGCCTAGATATAATAGGGAAATACGTATCATGGATTGACATTAACATGATAGCCAACAACAAGTTTGTGGAGGTGCTAATTCGTTTCATGCGCATGAACCTCCTGCGAGAGAGTGCGTGCGACTGTATTCACGAGATCATCAGTAAGGGCATGGACCCAGTAGCCAAGACGAAGTTGATAGAGTCCTTTACTAATGTGCTGGATAGTGCTGGTGTGATACACCCCACAGAGGTATATATTGACAGAGTCTACCGCTTCGCGTGTGTGAATGCACATGCATGGTGGGGGGGGGGGTCATCCTTCTTACTTATTTCCCATCCTTTGAATCTACATAGGGAAAGAAGGGGTAATATACTTAGATAATGACATTTCAGGTTTCCTAGTTTGGTAAAGCTATCACTTCTTGGTTTCTTTTATGTTATTATGAGATTTATCTGAAAAATTTTGACAATTGTGAAGATCTGTTATTTAGCCCCATTTTGCCATTTATTAACTTTGTTAAAAAGCCTGTCATTTGTACCCATATATTTACTTCTCTAATATAGATTTGTCATGGTTTGATAAGAAAACATTGAGCTTTGTTATATATAATATTTCAGGACGAGGAAGGAGATTTTGTGGCCAAGTTGTCCAAGCTGGTTAATGGGATGGGTCTGCAGCTCATACAGGCCTGGCAAAAGTGAGGGACACTTTTATTTTTATTTTTATTTTTATTTTTATTATTAGTGATTAACATCAAAAATAAAGATTGTTGAAAATGTATCTACTACAGACTATTTAAAAGGAGTACTGCTAATTATTTTTGATAGTCATTTTGATTGCTTGATGTGTAATCTGTCCCAGCATCAGAATATAATCTAGTCCTAGAATCTATTCCTGTGTATTAGTGATTGTAATAATGCAATGAATGTTTTTCACCTGATTCAGGTTGGTCAAGGCGGGGGATAGTGCCAGTTCTAATGTCACTATGCAAGCTTTTGAACATAAGGTGCCATTAATGTTCCGTTTCCTTGGTGACGAGGACGATGATGTGTCCGGGGCCATAATAACATTTGCACACGACTACATCTCCGTGTTGAAACAAGTGAAGACTTTGTCAGAAAAACAGAGACAGAATATTGAGGTGAGCATGTTATGGTTTTTGTGATGTTTTTGTTGTCATTTATTCAATTATAAATTTGATTACTTTGATGAACAAAATGTGGTTATGTTTGCTGTGAACATGATGCCCACTCAAGAAAGCATTATTTTCTCCAAACTGCTTAAGTATTAATTGTTATAACAATGATACTGAAATGCTTGATTTTTCATCATTGATAAACTGCTTGAAAAACTGATTTAGGCAAAGAGTGTTGTTTATTTTAAAAATTGTAGGTCAATTACATGTGCACTCAAATAATAACCCTTTTTAAATAGCATCATTAATATGTATTTTTAAGGGACTGCTGTTTGTTGTTGTGAAGAAATTGAAATATGATGAATCATACAACTTTGATCAAGAGGTAAGAACTACAAGCAACAAGGTGTTAAAATGTACATAAGAACAGATTTTCCTTGTTAATTAATTTCATTAAATTTAACTGAAAATTGCAGGTCCCATTGTAAAAGAAAAAGTGAAGCAGTGTTTACAGTTCCTATACGCTCTCTTATGAACAGCCCATAAATTATTATAATTCTTTGTGTCTATTCAACTATTTTAACAAATAATGTCACATGCATTTATCTTTTAGGGAGAGGAAGAAGCAATGTTTCAAGAATACAGAAAACAGTTAAAAACCATCTTCAATAATCTTGCTCAACTGGTAAGTTTAATATGTTATCTTTCTCATTTATAAATTCTTTGGACTTATTTTACACTGGATAAAATGGAAGAAGTTATATGCACTCTTTTCCATTATATCTCATCTAACATAAAGCTAAATATCTAAGGAAACTATGCAGCATTTGAATAAAAAGTAAAATGTTGAAGTAAATCACGTGATGATTTTCTGACAAGACATGCAAGGCAGGGGTCAGGAATTTTTAGTTTCAGCGGAAAGCTTTCTCTCTTTTCCTCAGTTGCTATGCCAGTCTGTTTAAAGATAACTTTATTTTCATATGTTTCTGTTTCAGGATAACCAGCTGATAGTGGCGGCAGTTCACAGTTTGGTAGCCAGCACTCTTCAGAACTGGAGGAACATGGAGCACCAGGAAGTGGAGGTCGCCATCTATCTGTTGTATATTTTAGGAGAAACTATCCCTGTAAGTATAGAAAGAATCAAGCCCTGAAGATATGTTCACTTAGGTTTGAAACTTGTAAATTATTGTACCTTAGGAAGTTGATGTAAAAAAGATACTGATCTCTTGAAGTTTGCAGCTTCCAAGAGTTAGAAAAAGAGAAAAACATACAAGTTAGTGTTGCCTTATAAAACTTTAGATTTCACTCTGTGAATTTAACAGTGGCGCAATATTAGCCATTACATTGTTTTACTCTATGCTTTGCTTTATCACATTGACTTCACTCCTCTTGAAGGTTTGCATCCTCCTGTGTGATGTGAAAGCAAAAAGTATTATTGTAAAATGTGGTAATTGTTTTCAGCCCACTCAGGGACCGCAATTCAGAGATGCTAGTCAGTCCAAAACTACGGCGCTCCAAGAAATGATGAGACTGGTGAGCGATTTACTGTACACAGTTAAACTAAGATTAAAAAGAAGTAGGAAAAAATTTGATTTCTTTGAAAGTTTTCATGTTTTATTGTGTTCTGTTTTAATGTAGGTATTGTTTAGTTAATTTGCTAGCTTTGTCAATACAAAATAAGTCTCAGGTTGATTCTTTAAAAGTGTAATAGTAAGATACTGAGTTCTTTAATACATACTTAATGAGGATGATGAGGATTTCAGTAATAACAATCTGCTTTCAGCTTGTCACCTGTGGTGTAAGTCACACCCCCCATACAGCTGTCACCCTGCAGATGTTTGAAACCATCGTCAGATATGAGAAATTCTTCCTGTCTGAGCCACGGCATATCCCTGCGATACTGGTAAGATTTACTGACCTCTTAGTTGTTGACTTTGTAAATGTGTATAGTTAAAGAAATCTTTCACATTGGTGGTATTTAAAAATATATTTGATATTTGTGCAATGTTACTGTTAGTTACTTGGCAACTTAAAAGTGAAACATGTCAGACTTATCATTATCTTTTAAAGATGTGATTTGTAATGTAAATGTAAACATTCTGTGAAGCAGAAATCCACAAACATTCATTTATTCTTGATAATGAAATTACTTGACATAAACAACTGGTTCTTTTGTGAATTTTAATAAAAAATAAAGTTAACTACTCTCTTTTTTCCCCCCACGCAGACTGCATTTTTGGATGAGAGAGGTCTGCACAACAAGTCCAAGTCTGTCAGGAGCAGAGTATCCTATCTATTTTCTAGATTCATCAAGGGAATTAGGTACTTATTGATCTAATTTATCAGCGCACTGTTAAACGAACATACTACAAAATATACTTGCATCGGGAAAATTGATTCTGTAATAGTTGATTGATTGAAATTTGTGAAGATTGGAGCAAATGTCATAACCAGCACAGTAAGCTGTCACAACTAACACAATCAGTTATCTTAAAAAACAACTGTCACTTTTCATCATCTGACAATTATGTATTTTGTTCTATTTTAATCTGTTGAAAATGTATATTATTATAACATTATGATACAGACCTCTGTTAGAAAATCAGAATTAACGAAAACAACTTGAATCAATATGATCTAGGGCACATGTCCAGAGCTATGAGAATGTCCAGGAGATCCTGACCCGGATAGCTGATCTGCTGGTCCTGAACACTCCAGACAATGGTCTGCAAATTTCCTTGACCAGTGTGGACAAGCTGTTCATGTATGAGACGGCCGGGACAGTGATAGTCTCGGGTTATTTCCCACCAGAGGTCAGTATAGGGGGCAGTGCATGGTATTCCCCTCCACTTTTTACCTAACTCATATCATCAATTATATCTTTCTTATGCTTAAAAAAACTTGAAAACTTAAAGCACATAAGGCATATTTTTGATTAATGTAAAGATTGTTTTAGTCCAAGGGAGATTTGAAGCATGTGGTGTCTTTTTGCCATCTTATAATTAATTTCATTAAAAGGATTTATCAAAGAATGTGAAAAATTTCTTAGAATGACTCTTAATCAGCAGAGCAACAGGGGATCATTTGGACATTTGTTTAAGTAGGCATGAATCTCAGAATAGTTGGCATCTTGTTTTATACAACTGATGCAGTATTTAATTTACTCAATTTATACAGTTTTTGATGCAGATTCATTATTTGATTCATTGTTTATTCAGAAAAAGGCAGAGTTGATGAAGGCCCTTCTAGCCCCCATCGTCAGCAAGTTTGACAGTATTTACTCCAAAATGTGTGCAGAGACGGATGAAACAAAACAGTTTGGCTTTGCCCAGTCTCTAAGCCATGCTATGAATTTTGCAAGGTGGGTTATATACGATGGATTTTCAAAAGAATACTTTACTTTACTTTACTTTACTTTACTTTATTAAATTTGTTTTAAAAGTAGCTTGAAAATGCATATTCATTTGTGGAGTATAGGATCAAAAAGATTCAAGGCCAGACATATTGATAACTGTACTTGTAAAATTTTGATTTTATACAAAATAATACACCTGAAAGTTAAAATCCTATGTAACTCTCCAGCCCTACTAATAATAAAGCTCTAATTCTATGTAACTGTTGTGGTTTTCAGTCGTGCCAGTAAAGCCTTTTCCAACCAGCAAACAATGCGGCAGTGCAGCTGTGTTGAACCATTCACAGAGACACTGCAGATCTTCCTGCATGTGCTGAACACCCCGTGCCATCGCCAGCTGCTCCAGACAGGTGTGCGCCAGTACCTGCATCGCATGGTGGTCTGTCTGGAGAGTGAAATTCTCCCCTATGTCCCCCTGGCAATGGAACAGCTGTTGAAGGACGCGGAGGCCAAAGAGTTGTACGACTTTCTGCCTCTCATGAATCAAGTGATATCCAAGTTCAAGGTCAGTTTGACAGCATTGTTGATGGGTTTTCAATGAAATATTTTTGTGTTGAATATATTTGTACGCAATTATTTGTACAAACCGATGCTTGGATATGGCAGTTTGTTCTTCCCCTTGTTTAACAACATGATAGTTCAATTTTTGATTTTTATAATGAAAAAATGTGAAATCAAGATTCCACCTCTCTATCCATTTAGCACAGGTTTATTCAGATATGAAATTCAAAGTTACACATTTATTTTTACAGAAAGAAATTGTCCCCTTTCTCCAACAAATCTTCATGCCTGTGGTGACCACTATCTTCCAAGCTCTCAACAAACCCTCGGACCAGTTGGATCAGATAGCAGCCGCAGAGAAGAAATTACTGCACAAAGGATACTTTGGTTTCATCAGTACTATTCTTAACCAAGATGTAGCAGAAATATTAACTCTACAAGGTGAGATTTGCTGAAGAGGTCATTTATGACAGAGTAAGAAACAGGAGTAAAATGCTATAATTCCAACAGGATTGTTCTAAACTAAGAGAAAGCTGAAAGACTAACTCACAAAGTTGCATATCACTGAGGTGTTGAATATAATTATTGACATTAAAAATGGACATCTGTATGTCTGTTGGTATTGAAATTTTGGCTTTGATTTGTTGAACTAGAAGTTTACTGAACAGATAAATCTCATAACAAATGTCAGTGATTATCTAGTGTTGCTTCCTTTATGGGTGATGAAGTTGATAGTGGGATGAAAAGAGAGTTGCCTGGTTTACAATGAGTCAGAATGTTTATAACATCATGTTAACAGTTATATGATTTTATGAGTTATAATATTGCCATTATAGGAACAAAAGTGAAAATGAAATTAAATAATAACAATTAGATTAATAAAAAAGAATTATAATAATAACGTTAAACTTCTTTTCTTCCAGAGAGCCACAATTTATACAATATATTGGTCACAGTGGTACAAGGTGCTGTGGACTTTCCTGATCCTTCTGTAAGTTATGGTTCATATAATATCTATCAGATATACTCAACTTTTAAACTAGAATTTTACTCTAGTTCAACCCAAGATATATCAGTAATAGTCTTGACTCTGAATTGATATGCACAAAAATAAGTTCTTAAGTTTTTTTCAAGCTATACTCTGAAAATCTGGTCTAATAGTAGTGGGAAGAAATTCTTGTATGTCTCTCATTTGGATATGGGTGATTAAAAAGTCTTTGTTTTGTGAGGAATTGAAGGGCATTTATGTTTATATAAACCATATTGTGTCATCTGATGGACCAAGATATTCATTATACCATGTATTTCGATTGTCTTATTTATTTCTCTCTTTATTTTAGGCACAAAAGTTGTGTTTTCAGATTTTAAAGAAGACAATAGAACTTTGGGGTATGTATATGGTTTAGTTTGACCATTGCTACCACATTGTATATTATTAAAATTTTCAAATTCTTCAGTGCAAGGAAATTTATTGTAGATATTAGTTTTTTTTTTATTATTTTATTTTATTTTATTTTATTTTATTATTTTTTTTTTTTGACCAGCTGTAAAGCTATTGCTTGAAGCACAGCTTTGATTTTATACGAAATCCATATTTTGACTTGGCAGAGTTATGACTTGTTTTCAACATGAAAATTGTGATGTTAAGTCATTCAAATGGTTTTGTAAGTTCAAAATGTAATAAAAAGTTCTGCATTCTTTTAAGGTGACCCTGGAAGCTTGTCGGGTTTTGAAGATTTTATTTACAAAAATGTTGTCCCAGCTTGTTTTATGGCTCCCATGAAGAGCACATTTGACCTGAAGGATGCACAGACTGTATTGGTGAGTGCTGCCATCTGTTGATGAAGTTAAACACAAAAGTGTTCATTGGAATAAAGTCTGTCATAAATTTCAAGCATGTTACAGATTTTATTACTATAAGTTAATTTGATATATGAAAGGGGAATGTAGTATTTTTTTAAATGTGTTTCTAAGTAACAATAATATATTGGATATTAAAAAGAAAAATTGACTAAAAGCATAAAACATTTTTTAATTTTCAGGCTTTAGGGGAAAGTGGATTGGTGCTTAAGACTGTTTTGGAAAAAAGGGTATGTGTAATTTAATTATTGTTTTCTTATAAATTATATTTTGTTTTTGATAGTGATATTGCCATCCAGAGTGATAATAATATGAATGAGCAACTACGATATTTTATGATTTTGAGGTAACTTGTGGTGTTTTTATTGTACTCAGAACTTATTTAAAGTTGAAAAATCTTTGATGGATGTTCATATAATGCTCTAATCATTTTGCCAAGCTAATCTCTGAAGTGTGCTATCCATATTATATACAATCTCTATCCAACAGGGTGATGAGTTTGTTGTTTTCCTGCAAACCAAATATCTCCCAGAGGTCAATATGACTCCAGAAAATATTCAGGTGGGTAGTCATGATGCTGTGATATTTATCTATGTGGTCAGTCATGATTCTGATTATTGTCTCAATGTCAACATGACTAGTGCAGGGGTATTTTGATATTAAACTGAACTGGCTGGAGTGACGATGGGCTGTAGAATTTATTGCCTCTGTCTCAATCTCGAAACATTTTGCGAACTGCTTCCATTTCTACACCAGGTTCTATTAGGCCTAGATCTTAAAGTTGTGAATAACAAGAATGCAAAGAATGAAGTGTAACACACATAGTTGGTGTGTAATATAAAGATATCTTAAATTCTTCCAGGAATACACAGAAGCTTTGAAGTCAGACCCAAAAATATTCAAATCATATTTAAAGGTGAGTGACAGAAGCAGGGCTGTAGGGAGGTGGGTGTGGAGAGTGTTTGTGTGTGTGTAGGGATGGGGGATGGGGGCAAAAGAAGTGGTCTTCTTGGAGATCTTTTTAGTGGTGATGGATTTCATTTGTAACAAACATGTACAAGTCTTAATTTTTTTCAAATTATAAGATCAAAACTGTGCTGGGTTTAAATGTGTTGATTGTGGCATTGCATTAATTTTTATAAACAAAAGCTTTACTTTTACTTGATAGTTACACTTGTTAATTGAGCATTCTCCTTACAAGAATTGAAGTTATTTATCTAATATTCTATTCCAGGCATTCTTTGCAAGGTTTAAATCCTGACCGAGGCAGGGACATCTCTTCATACAACCATCATACATTGTATATAGACCATTGATAATCATATCATCGTGCCACAAACCTGGTTCCAAGATACGTGTTTAGGAACTCTAGGGACCTTTAAGTCAGTAGGATTATGTTACATTCTGATAGAACCATCAGTGTGACCATGGAGATGCCATTGGCCACATCGAGTTTTGTTTACTTGGATTGCTAGTTAAGGGGTCTAGGATATTAAAAATACGTCTAAAACTCGATTTTTAGTTTTTTATACGTTAGAAATAATCAATTTTGTATCTAATACTCAATTAAGNCTTTAAGTTAATAGGAAATTTCATTAGCTGCATTAGTTTTGGACTTTTTCGTTAATATCCAAGATCCCTTAAACTAGAACTGAGATGTTCTTGCGAAAAATTTTATTTTGTGATGGTTAATTTATTTTGAAATGCCTTCAGAGGAATTAGTGTCATTTTATTTTATTTATTTATTTATTTTTAAATTTTTTTTAGTGTTTGAGCCATATAGGGTCATTCTTGAATTGCTGATCTTAATATTTATTGTAGTCATACATAGCTAGATGAATTGAAGTAAATCAAAACATTGATGTGTATCAAAGGCAAAAGCTGTAGTATTTTTAAAGAATTCCGTAGATCAGAATATATTCAGGGTTAGGCTGAAATTTCCTGTATGATAGTAATCTCGGCTATTTCACATCGATTATGACTTGTTTCAGGGAACAAAGTGCCAGTAACTTCAGTTGGACAGATTGAAAAAAATTCAGATTTTTGTTGTTCGTTTTTCTACCAGATATTGAGCCATAAATTATCATGTGGCAGCATGGCATGAAATTGGATGCCCTTTGAGGAATTGAAAGTATATAAAATTTGAACTTTTTCCATCCACCTGATGGAAAAGAATTTTCATAAGTAATTTGTACTGAAAAAGAATATATAATACTTGGATATCTTGCCTCAAGATTTGTATTGCTCTTTGGTTGAAAGCTTTATGTGGAGTTGAGAAAAAGTTAATTTATTCTTTTACATGATTGTGTTGATTTAAGACTGGTTTTATTTTTCAGGAATTTAAATGTTTGAAACTTAACATCTGAGACGAAGTAATAGTGCTTTTGGTGTTTTTCACAATTTTTTAAAATCTGTTATCTAGTGAAATAAAAAGGATATTTCTTTACTTGTTTTAAGTATCACAATTGTCAGGTCAAAGCTTTTAAAGTTTTGTGTTGTCAGATACACTTTTGTCATTGAAGTTTTCTTTGTTAAAATAAGATCACACTATATGTTTCATTGGCTTTTTAAAAGTATTTATCACTGAGAATTTTCCCCTTCAGAGCAGAGTTGTTGACTCTCTTTTTAATTTTCAAGGTGCAATAAAATACATCAGGTGGGAGGGGGTGTGGCATGGCCTTTTCACTTCTGAAACACGAATACTGCTGTATGTATTTAAACGATATCCCATTTGAAATTCCCAACTGTCATGAAATAAGTCGAAGTGGTAACGATATCAGGTCCAGCAAAGACTCGTCGGCTGCTTTATACATTTTAAGTTATAATATCGGTTTCTTCAAATATTCTTGGAATATTCGGATAGTAGTATCCCGGATTTTAGTTGTTATTTGAAGGAAAAATTATTGTAACATTAACAAACAAGGTATCCAGTTAGTATAAGGAAGGAGAGGTTATTGCTGTTTTTGGATCAATCACTGAACACGTGACCTTGCTCCATATTGTACTATTATTATTAAACGGCAGTCTGGAACATTCACTTGAAAGCGCATGTGCTTCTGTTTATTTTTACTAATTGGAATAAAATTCTATAATTACTCGTTTTCGTCTCTTTTTCTAGTTCAAATAGTTCAACGTTACAGTGTTTGCGACATTTTCAGGGGGCTACGAGAGAGTTCCTATGAATTATCATGGAAATAGAGAAGGTTGAAGGAAGAGGCGTGACTTGCCGACTGCCGTCGATTTAGTAATAATACGTCATCACATAGGACACACTGATGTAAGGCGTGAGTGGTTAGTGCAGCGCTTCTAGTTCATACTCCTTTTCTGTACGAGGCCTGATCAAGTGGTGAAATGACAGTTCGTTTTGCTGAACAGTGTGAAATTCAAATTTTCAAGCCTAATTTAAATTGCTCAAATTATGACAGCAAATGAGGCGAAAAGAAAATAATTAAAAATGCTACGCACGAGGTGAGAGTAGCGTCCCGGATCGCCATGTTCGAAGTCCTCCACATATCTTTAAAAAGTTAAAGAGAATACATTAATGTGATAGAACTGCTACTAAATGATGCGACAAGAACACCCTGACATTTAAATAGCGCCCTCTGTGACTGAAAGAACGACAAAAAAAAAAAAAAAAAAAGGTAAAAGGGGTGGGGGCGAAGGGACGCGCTCACCGAGTTCTACATATAAATTGTCCACGGCAGGTGTGTTTGGTAAATACTCACCTGGATCAACTGGACACGATTTCTCCTTCCTTGTATTTCGGACTAATAGCACTTAATAATTGAGTTTCTACCGCAGGAGAGATAAAGCGGATTAGCGCGCCGGTTAAACAGCTACAAATAGAGCCGCGTAATGATATAGACATTCACCCGCAAATAACAAGTCAAGTTTTTTTCAGATAACAAGTACTTTTCACAATTCCAAAAACGGCCAATAGGAAAAGAAATATCCCAGGTGAACCAATGCAAACGAATGCCCGACAAAAATGACAGAATTTATTGTTTGTCTTAGGACGAAAAATCGGTAGATTAGGAAGTATTGCTACAAGCATGCCGCAGACCTTAGTCTTGGAAAGAGGCAAGTTTTCTCATTCATACGTTTATTTTCCAAACATTGATAATATATTCCCGGCAACCCTCACGACACTTGGACAAACTGGGCAAAACAACCCATCAAGGTAACTAAGTAGCATTTAAACTTGCGTCACGAATTAATATAGCGCGACGCGTTTCTGAAACTTTCGCAGTGCGAAGAACAAAGGATTTTGTATTTCGTTCTTAAAATCGACAAGAAATCATATACAGAATACAAGCTAAGAGCTTAAACCCTAGAACAGCGACTGGGAAAGTTATCCCTGGGAAGCCTTCAAAAACTATGAAGCTTTTCGCGGTACTTTTCCTGGCCGTGGTACTCTCTGGCGATGTCACGGCGGGGAACATACCAGATGCCAACGTGGTCAAAAACACCTGGGTCCCGAGCCTGAGTTCCAGGATGACCAACTTCGCAGAGAAGCAGCTAGGGTCTCTACAGCTACAGAGGCTGTACGACCAGAGAGTCATGTACAAGACACAACGGGTGGATGGTCAGGCCAAGATCGACGAACTGGTCAAGAAGCTGGACGACAGGCTGCAACAGGCCACGACCAACCTTGCAGCCATGCAACGGAAGATTCAGGGGTTGAATATGGTTCACGTGCCAGTGTCCCTCCCTGGTTGCTGCCAGGCGCCGAACCCAGGGAAAATGAACTCCCGATTTAAACAAGTCGTGAGTGATCCTTTTCAAAAGGGCTGCGCTGAAATCCAAGACTCCACCAAAGGGTTTTTATGGCCAATGATGAAAACGGACCTAGATGCAAACTTGCAAAATACAAAACCGCTGACTTGGCAGTATTACGGAGACAAGTATGGCAACTACTACCAGTACCCCACCGGTGTCCACTCCAAGTTCTGTCCGGCGGGGAAGTACGATGACCACAGATTTAGGTGGGTTCAGAGCACCATGGTTGTTTTCCTACGAACGTGAATCTTTCAATCTCAAAATCTAGATTGGTTTTTAAAATACTGATGGTTCGGCTAAAGACAGAAAAGGTCGGGGGAGGGGGGGGGGGG